ATTCAATAATGATGACCCTTAATGTTTATTGATGCTAATATATGTCATGCAATTTATCCATGGGACAGTCCTATGAGGTAGGTGATTTCATTAACCCATTTTGCAGATGAAGAAATTGGGCAAATAAGGGTTAGGAAACTTGCTCAAGGCTTCACTAGAATTAAGTGCAGAATCGGGGCTGAACCAAGTCTGAAAAATCCTAGAGCCCAGGTGCTAAACAATAGGCTGTACCGTATCAGTCAGGTTTTGGTTTTGCAGACAGAAGCCGCTCAAAAATTTTCAATACGAAGGGCTTTGATACCGGGAATGTAAGGCTTATACAACCTGTATACACCTCCCATTGGAAGAGAGCAGTAATCCGGAAAGCCCTAGATCTAGACACACACGTATTTCGGAGATGTCGCTACTGCTGAGCTCAGCTGCCCCCAGCGCTGAGAGCTGCCAGCAACCCCCCACATAGGCCACTTCCTGATGCTCACACTCATGCCTAGAGCTTCTGCCGCCAACAGTGGCCTATCCTTTTCTTCTGACTTGCAAACCTCGAAAAGTGCCACCCACTGAGGATAGGCAGACACCTGCTGCCGAGGACATCTGAGAAATATAGTTTCTAGGCTTTCAGCGCCTGTGGTGCGGGGGCGAAAAGCGCAGCGGGACAGGGAAGATAGATGCATAGGTAAGATCGGGCCCACCGGTTATGCGACAAATCATCCTTTACTTAATTTTCTCCATAATTGTCCATTTCAGTTATTTCTCCGACCTATGGCTACAAATGAGACTGGTAACTCAGACTGCCCCGCTCATGTCCCCACCTGCAGGCGTCCTCACTCTACGCCCCATTTCAGTTCTGTCTGGGAGCTCAGGTGAGCGCAGCGACGGTCCTCCCCGCCCTTCCACTCCCGCCCCTGCCTTGTTTCCAGCCGCACCGCCACTGGAGGGCAGCACCTGCCCGCCAAGGCTGCGGCGGGCGCCCACGCGGCCTCGCGGGCGTCTCCGGGGCCAGGGCCCGGGTCCCACAGCTGAGGACCCTTCCACTGCCAAGGCGCGTCCCCAGGCCCCCTCCGGGCTTCTCGCTCCGCGCCGTCTTCAGCTTCTTTCCTGAGCACCGGCCAGCTTCCAGGCCTGCCGGGCTCCTTTTTGGAAAAGCTTCTTCAGTCCATGTGAGTACCTCCCCCTTGAGGATGGACTGACCGGTGGGCCTGGGTGGGAGGCAGACGCCTCACTGCCCGCTCCATCGTCCCCCGTCTCCAGCCCTCAGAGTCCAGGCCTGACTTCCCTCCCGGAAGCTCCTTCCTCAGCGAAAATCAGCTCATGCAAACGGACACCATTACCTGCCAACTGACATTTCATGACATGCGGAGTTATTTGCCTGAACATTTAGGTTCTCCGTACCCAGTGCTACAAGGAAAATTTTGGACATCGCTCTTTGTTCACATTCTTCCTGTAGATCTCTAAATAATGGAATTACCGTATAAAAGAGAATAAACATTTTTAAGGTTGTGATACATATTGGCAATTAGGTTCCACAAAGTTTTACCAATTTATACACCCACTAGCTAGTGACAGTGCTTCTCCTTGAACCCTTGCTCACCGCAGCTTCTGCTGAATGCCATTTTATCTACATCTATCTATCTATCATCTATGGAGATACTGTCCCATATTATATATACATATATATGAGATATATAAAATTATATGTTATATACATCTTATTATATGACATATATCATAATATATATATGTTTCCCACAGGTTGCTTCGTTCACCCTGTTAAAGTGAATTATGCCCCAAACCTCTCTCTCACACACATATCCTTGAAGCTCCAAAACCAAACCTTCTAAAAATGTGAGGAAAGTAACATCCCTAACATATTTTAGTCAATTACCATAATTGTGGCAATTTTAATTGTTGATTGAATGCAAGGTGTCCTTCCACAAGTTGTAGGGGTGTATCACTAAAGAGTAGGTTGAGCTGTAAGTGACCAAAATCCAAAATACCAGTGGTTTAAACCAGATACTTTTTTTTTCTCTTTGTCATAGCAACGGTTAGGAGTTAAGCAAGATCTCATCTGGTATGAGATTCACTGAACCAGGTTCATTCCACCTTCCATTTCCAAGTTTGCATCCACGTTCCATCCAGCAAGAAGGAGAAAGGGAAATTATGCTTCTGCTTTCTAGAAGAAACTTTGTAGAAGTTGTGTATACCCCTTGCTCTTAGAGCTCGCTGCCCAGAAGGTAGTCATACAGCCAAGTTCAGCTGCAAAGAGGGTGGGAAATATAGTCTTCTTCCCAAGTGATCATTTTCCAGCTAAACATCAGACGAGTTCTGTAGAGAACAGATACCAAGGAACACGCAGTGGTCCCTGTCCCAAAGGCACAGAAGTATAAGATATAACGTTTGCTCTTAAATGACATGATTTACTTATTTTCTGGAAAGCCTGTACTCCTTTTTTACATAGAAAATATAGTGTTGTGGGTAAGAGCCTATTGTTTTTCTTTCTTTTAATTACAGTCTGCTTTTCCTTTGACATAGATTATAGTTTCAGAGATGTTTCAAATTCATTTTAGCCTTCAAATGGCTGTAATCTCTCATGCTTTGCTCCCTTTGCTAGCCCAGCCTCTCTGTCTCACCATTAACTGGTCTGAGAATAAACACTCAGATGGAGCAGGTGAGTTGTGAACCTAGAAGTTTGCTTCATATTCTTTCCTTGATAAAAGAACAATGAAAATGTACTAAAATATCAGGAAGCAGAGAAAGAAACTAAGAGAGAAGAAAGAGACAGCAGGTCTGTGTGATGAGCAATGAATATAACCTCCATCATCCAAATTAAAAAACCCAAGTGGGACAAGTCAAGGAGCTTTAAAGGAAAGATACACATCAGTAGACTCGGCAATTTACAGAGGCAGGATCCCATCATGGTATTGTATATTATCTTGTGCATCTTATCAAGTATACAGCAACCAGAAATTAAGATAAATTACTGGCCAAATAAGTTAAGACTGCGGTATAAGTTTAATGAATTAGTGAGCTTAAGCAAAGAATAGGCATTAGCTTGAGCAATGGATCCCAGAAATCTTGAGTCTGCTTATCATCCCACACCATTTGGTGAATAGTCTTTCTGCTGCCCAAGTGGTAGGGCTAGAGTTCTCTATTTAATTATTTGCCCATCTTTATCTTCAGTTTTCTCATCCCTCTCCTGAACCATATATTCATGCACTGTACTCTTCTCAAGAAATACTCTCTAAAGGAAACAGTTTCTGTATAGTCGATACAATGAAGATGAACTTGAAGTTTAGAGTATTCATGTAGCAAGTTGCAGAGAGAGCCCTTGTACCCAAGCCCTCAGGCTTCCTGCTCAAGGTTCAAATGCTGATCTTTTAGGGATTCAAACCCTGGAAATTCTTCCAAGGTCAATGGATCTTCAGGTGCCCCCAATCTGAGTTGTTGCTGTAGGCTTTTAGCCACTGGTTAAGACTGGCTTCCACCCCACCCCTAGCTTTGGGTGTCTGACCGTCTGACTGAATTATTGTTAAAGGTGTGTAAATTTAATCAAAGCATGTCTGGAAGGAGATTTAACTTATGCTTTCAGTGTTCAAGGAACTCTATTTAAGAATATGCAAATGAACAAGAAAAGGATGCACAAAAAATCCAGTGAAGTGGATCTGATGAGTACTGAAGTTGGGGCAAAAGTGGGTTAGCCTGGGACACTAGGACTTAAGACAGCCTGGGAATTGCTGGTGAGGGCGTAAGTCTTTGGAGTCATTAGATGCTCAGTCACAACAGTGCCTCCTCACAACAATGGGAGGAGGACGGGGTAAGGACTACTTCCTTTATTTTACAGTTGAGTGCCTGGCCAAGGTCATACAGTCGGGGGGGGGGACTGGGATAAAAATAGAACTCAGGTTCCTGACTTTCAGGCCAGCGCTCTTTCCATTATGTTGCAGCTGCCTGCTTCCAGGAGACCCACATCCGATACCCAGAAAATGCCATGCAGGAGACGGCTGCGACTATTCTGTTTAAGTCGGGATGAGGGGAGGTGTGTGGTGGGCTAAAGCCAGGGGAGGACTGTGGGAATGCCATCCTGCCATCCTGGATATGGAGTCTTTTTACGGCTTGTGCCACTCCAACTGGCATGAACAAGGCACAGCTGAAGATTAAATGTCTTGAACATTATTAGCCCGTTAGGTCTCTCGATAGCTTCCCCCAGACTTCTCTGCTGTTTTACATTCCCAATCAGGTTTTGTTTATTCAATTTCTCACATGTTCGTGAAGAGATGTCCTCTTCATTGCCTCTCTTCAAGAAGCAAATATTCTCTCGTATACTTCGGAAAGGAAAAAAATTCCTTTTAGTCCAGAGGTCAAGTCATCAAGAAAAAATTGTGTTGCCATCCCCTACCCCTGCCTTGGGTGACCAACTTGTCTCTGTCTGCCCGGGACTTTCTCAGCTGAAAGTCTCATGTCCTCCCTTTAATCCAGCACAAATGGGAGTTGTTGGTCATCCTTCCATGAGGGGATTTTTTTTGCATTGGCTCCCCTTGCTGCCTCAGGGGGTTATGAAGCAGACCCTGCAAGATGCTTTGTCTTCACTAGAAAGGCATTTGGTGGCGCCACCTGCATCTAACAAAGGCAGAAGGGTTGGTGAACTGGGTTGGACAGCCTCATGTTCTGTAGGACGAGAGACCCCATCAAGGTGAAGGGCAGATTTTCTGGGACCTGGGCTTCCTGGTGTAATTTGAGAAGCTCCTTAGGGTGGAAGAGAGCAGCTCTGGATGGTCAGAGGTGAGAGGAGGAGAGAGGAGCTACTCATTCTTGCCTGCAGGAAATTAGGACTATCCCATTACCCCAGGGAAAATTCTTGTTTCCAGGTTAGAACATTCTGGTAAAGTCAGGCAGGGAGCAATTACTTACGATGTCAGTGAGCCAAGGGGTAATTGAGAAGACTTAGCACAAACGAGTTTGTCCTTCATTTGTCTTGGCTGGCTTTTCCTGGCACACGGTAGGGTTGCAGGCAGGCTGTCCCTGCAGGTCAGGCGAGGCTCTGTGCTGGCAAAGAGGTTAAAGCCCTTGCAGGGATCTCCTTCCCAAGCGTTCCTGTTTCCTTAGGAAGAAGACTTCCCTGTTCATGATTAGGTAAGGCTGCCTTTCTGACCTGTCCCAGGGTAGTTGCTGCTGCTAGCTTTGTTGTTTCGGAGCCTGGCTATTTGCCATCTCCAGAGGGGAGGACAATCTAGCAGCATTTCAGATTTCACTGTCTATCCAGGAGTCTGGATAACCGACAAGATGAATTCACTGCAAGCGCGCGCGGGGTTTATGTAACCTGCAGGCCACAGCTCAGCACAGAGCCTGGGAAGCCACGCGGGGGCAGGGCATCAGCCGGCAGGAGCTGCACTGCAGACCCCAGCTGGGAGAGCATGCTTGGAGGTTCCGTGACTACTACTGCAATGCGGAGCACCAGCAGGGATGGAGGAGGGAGACTAGGAGCTTCTGGCAGTGGTGCTGGGGCTCCAAGACCTGATTTGGCAATGCTCAGGGGGTGGGGCTGGGGATGGTGGGGAAACCTGTCTTATTGGGGCCCCTTTGTGACAATAGGTGGGAGCATGCAGTGTGGGAGGGAGCTGAGGAGACAAAGGAGAGAGGAAAAGGCCAGAGGCCTTGGAGCTGTTTTGTTGGGGGGTAAGTGATTAAGGCAGCAAGCTGCTTTAACTGATTAGCAGCACGATTTCTCTTTGGGGGCCTCTCCCCCGAATTCTTTCTTCCTTATAACCACAGCCACACTCCTCCCCATCTTTGACTCTCCTAAGCCACAGTCCACAGCCGTCCACCCCAGCACCCAGTAATTAGCAGAAGCTCTGCTGGAGTCATCATGTTTGGGGACGGTCAGCATGTCAGCTGAGGAGGCGCCTCCATGTTGCGCCAATCAGGTGGTTGCAATTCCACAATATTTATTTGATTTTATTCTGCACAAGGAACCAGGTTAGGCCCTTCAGGGCATATTCCTGCCCTCTCGGTATTGCAGGATAACGGTAAGAAATAGGACAAGGGCCCAGATAAATACAGCACAGAGCCAAACATGGTACCTGCAAAGCTCAAGGGAGATACAAAGTGCTATACCTTTTTTTCTGTAGGTTCAAATACTTAATACCTCTTTCCTTTAAAAAAAAAAAAGATTTATTTATTTATTTGAGAGAGAGAGAGAGAGAAAGAGAGAGAGAGAGAGAGCCAGCGAGTGGGGGGAGGGTTAGAGGCAAGAATCTTCAAGCAGACTCTCTGCTGAGCACGGAGCCTGACAGGCGACTTGCTCCCAAGACCCCGGGATCATGAACTGAGCTGAAACCAAGAGTCAGGCCCTGAACTGACTGAACCACCCAGGCGCAACACCTCTTTTCTTCCAGCTGATTTGAAGGAACAAAATGTGGGTTATTTTGTCTGATTTCTGCAAATATGATTAGGCTGTCAATAGGACAAAACTGTAGGGGCGCCTGGGTGGCTCAGTTGGTTAAGCGACTGCCTTCGGCTCAGGTCATGATCCTGGAGTCCCGGGATGGAGTCCCACATTGGGCTCCCGGCTCAGTGGGGAGCCTGCTTCTCCCCTGACCCTCCCCCCTCTCATGAGCTCTCTCTCTCTCTCATTCTGTCTCAAATAAATAAATAAAATCTTTAAAAAAAAATAGGACAAAACTGTAGGTTCATATCCATTGGCATTCTTTTTGTTATGGTGAAGAAAGCTGGCCTTTAACATCAGATGGACCTGGGTATAAATCTGGGCACTGCCATTTACTTGCTTTGTGTTATTGGGCAAATAACTTCGCTCACTGTCAGTTTTCTCAACTGCAAAATTGGGCTTACATAAAAAGAGGTTAAGAGCACAGGCTCTGAAGTTAGACTGGGTTTAAATGGGAATCTACCACTCATTAACTGTATGACCTTGGGTAAGTTGCTGAACCGCCTGATGCCTCAGTTTCTTCATCTGGAAAGTGGGCATATTAATACCACATACCTCATAGCGTTGCTATAATGATTAAGTATTTTAACATATGCACAGAACTTAAAATAGTGGCTAACATAGAACAAGTGTTTTATAATAATGACAATAACAGTAATTTCATTATAAGGTTGCTATGACATATAAAATTAGCGCACATTATTTTATTATAGGAAAATAAATATGAACACATGTGACTGTAGCCTTCTTTCACTTATAATGAGTCAGGAAACAACAGAAGAGCCCTTCTGTACTAATATTCTGTGCCACAGAATTAAGTCTAGCATGAGTAGATAATTTTTCCTTCTTTTGCCACTTTTCCCTTAAGAAAATGGAAACTAAAGTTGATATAGGGAATGATTATTAATATGATATAATAGCTCTTAGCATTATAATTTAAAAAGCTATGCTAAAGTACAATTTTCAAAAAGGTAAAAATTATGAATCACATACAAATAAAAAATGAATAAATTTCAAACATTTTATTTAACCCGTTGATTAGGGAACGAGTAAGATGCTGACATCTGTGCAAAGGACAATCTGAAGAACACACAGAAACACACACTCAGGAACACAGCAATAAATTTGCTAATAGATACAACACCGGTTCATAGTCTAGAGCACAGTCAAATATAATGTTTGGGGTTAACTTTTTTATAGGATGGAAATCAGTCAACTCTCTACCAGACAAAATTCACTTGCATTTCTGTAGACAAGGATCATTTGCTTTACTATCAGTTTCCCAAAGCTTAACTTGTATTCCCACAGAGCTTGTCTAGTGAGTGGAAACAGTAGAAGATGCACCATTCTGTAGAATCCACTAACCCTCAGAGAGTCTGTGAGCCGGTGCCGGGTTGTCACTGGAAGAGTACCCAGTAAAGTCTTTAATAATTAAAGATAAACCAAATGATAAAGTACTTTCTGCATTGGAAAGAGGGGAGATTTGTCAGTTGATGGTGTAAAATGAGGTGAACCTACATTTGGGATGTTACCTTATCTACCACTTTGGGTCCCCAAGATCAAGACCACCCTCCTTCAAATGTGACACAGTTTTGACACGGTAGGTGACACTAGGATAGCTGATACCAGAGGCTACGTGTTGCTGACAGGCTTCTCAGAGAGATTCTATGGCCTGCGGACTCTTCTTCCAGAGGCACTGAAGCCTTGAGAGAGGAATCACGCCACAAGTCTGCAAGGCAGTGAGACAGAACCTGATGTTGGTGGAGGGGGTGTTAGGGTGTGGAGGATCTAGGCCCCTGTGGACTGATCCACACAAAGCCACTTAGCAAAGCTCCCCACAGCTTCTTGGCTCCCCCAGCACTATCTATCATAAGTCCATGAACCATGTTAGGAGCCATTTTCAGCCTCTATGAAGCCGGAGACTTTTTTTCCAACTCCTTGGGATATAGTCATGGGCTGGTAGAAACACTGAGAATTAGCATGATTAAGACTTCTTGGAAAGTTCTCCTAGGAACACAAGGCTGAGTTTTCCCTTAGTTCGTAGAGGGGAGCTAGCTGTGTTGCTCAAATCATGGTTTGGAAGCCCCTAAATAACAATCACTTTGAATGTTGCCCCCAAACTGCTGAACATGAGGACGTTTAAACAATCAGTGAGTCAAACTTTTCCTTGTCTCCTTTATTTGGAGGTGAGACCAGCCAATTTCTCAGAGGCACCCCGGGGATGAGGCAGATGAGAGAGCAATGGCGGATGGAGTGGTCCTCAGTTTGTGATGCTGGCTGATATGGCATGTCTACTACAGGGCTTCTCTAACTCCTCCTGATTTGGGGGAACCAGGAGGGCTGGAGGAAAACACGGTGGAATCAGTCAAATATGATTTATTCATGGGCAGGCAAGGAGACTGTTTCCCTTCCTCTTTTTCTTACTAGGACCATGTAATTGAGTCTAATGGGAAGTGATTGTAGGGGGAGTTCAGAGCCTGTTTTCAGTTGTCTTTGCCCAAAGACAGCAATCAAAATGCAGATGAACTTTCTCTATCTTACCATAGGAAAGGGACACAGACTCTGGCTAACGAAGGGGAAAATGGCTAATGCATGTTTACTGTGGCTTCTCTGTCCGCAGATGGCCACCGGTGTGAACGTGGGGGATGGAGAGCCAGCAGACACACTTTGTTTCCTAAGCTGATGCCACCCTGTATTGACTGCCTACTTTCTGCCAGGAGAAGCTAAGTGCTGCAGTAATGCTCTCTTCTCACACTGCTGGACAAGGGGCAGGGGGCCAAGGGATCTTGTTTCTTCCTCCCTTTGCCTCAACCTGAACAAAGATCTTGTTTTTTCCTCCCTTTGCCAGCTAAGTGGCTTTCCCCAAAGTACACCAAGCAATTGGGACTTTTCTAACCAGAAAGAGCAAATTGGAGCATTGCAATTAGGCAGCGTTAGAGATCCACTCTCATTTTGACCTTCACTCTAAATAATTAGAGCCTTCTCATCTAACTAAACAAAGAAGATCTGGGGCAGCATGGGACAGAATTAGAAATAACCCACTAGGAGATCAGAACTCAGCCTGAGGAGGACGGCACCGTGCTATAACCCAAATGGGAGAAAACTAATCAAATGGAGGCTGAGAGATGCCTCCTGATCTGCATTTTTTTTTTTTAGCAGAAAAATGACTTTCAACAAACCCCTCCAACAGACAAATCAACCTAGGATGAAATTTCCAGTGCACCTCCTTCCCTACCAGGAATAATAAATTATTCCTAGGCTGAGCAGCTGCTGGACATCACTTAGGGCTGTTTCCTTCCATCCAGTCCTGGGAGAGCCCCTGAAGCCCCTCCTCTCCCTCCCAGCCAGCGCTGCTAAATTTAGATCTTCCAGCATGTGCACAGTCTATATTTAGTGCCTAAGAGTCAGAGCTCAGCATACAATTCATCAAGCCATCAGTCATCCCTCTATCCAAGCGACATGTAGAGAAAAATACTTCCAAACTACCTTGCTCTCCACGAGGATGGAAGCCATTCTAAGAATGGGGAATTCACAGGGCCAAAGGGGTTTTCTCCTTACCCAGTGGTGTCAGGAGTGCCCGAGATTGCCAGGCACGCAGCCAAGGAACAGAGCATGGCTCCAGAGAGCCAGAGGGCAGGGGGAAGAGGAGGGAAAGAAGCAGGACTCAAAGAATGGCCTGCAGGCCCTGTTGTGCTTGTTCTGTCCCCATTGAAATTGCAGGCAACTGGGATCTTAAGGCTCTAGCTTAGATGTCACTTCTTCATGGGAATTGCCTTGAGACCACTCAGAGTGGATTAGGAGCCCCCAGCCCCCAACCCTGCCTGCACACAGTATTTCCTCTGCCACACGGTATAGAAACTACCCCCTCACACTGTAATGTGCAAATAAATCACCTGGGATATTGTGAAAATGAAAGTTTCCATTCTGTGTATCTGGGCTTCAGATCCTGCATTTCTAATGAGCTCCCGGGGGGCAAGACTGGTAGGGCAAAGGTAATACCAGGCTGACCGGCTGGTAGCAAATCCAGACATTTCCTCAAGGACTGAGCTTGTAAGTTCATGAGTGAAGGCATTATAAGAGGGGTGTTGGGAAAAGAGGAAAGTGGTCTTCATTTACCATCCCTGCCCCTGCTCCCCCAACCCACTACCACCACCATGGCTGCAGGCCAGTGGGACTGTACCCAAGTGAGGGAGAGATCCCAGTACATGGGAAAGAAGGTTTGTGTCCGAGCATTTCAGTTCAGGCCCTGAGCTCCTCCCGCTGTCCCACCTAGACACCTTTCTTTTATCAGAACAAGCAATATTGCAGAGGTGGTGCAACCACAGCTGGAGCTGGTGTGGAGGGGCCTGAGTTTTCCTGCAGCTGAGGGGCAGCCCTAATGGGATAAGCCAATGGGGAGGTGGGAGGAGGCTTCAGGATACTGGTAAACTGACAAAAAGAATGGTGAGAGACAAAATACACCAGACAACTGTGATGATTTAATTCAGGCTATTGCAATAGGGAGAGAGTTTGTTCATGAGCAATGTCTCAAAGAAAAGGAAAGTGACCTGGCATTATGGAGACAAATAAATGAGAGTCATGAGAATGGTCTTACCTGAGAATATTTAGAATATTGGGGGGCATGGTGGTCCTTTGCAGTTAGCCATTTTAGAAACCCGTAAGGGTAGTGGATTTCTGAGAACAAAGTGGTGGGAGAATTTCTGAACCTTTATTGTTTTCCAGAAGCATAGGACTCAGGGGAGTTTCAACCTGTCAGAGTATAAGATGTTGACCGTGAAGTGTGGAGTGGGGGCTGCTGTGGGGGCAAGAGCAAGCCATGAATGCCTCAGAACTCAGATAAGCTGGGTGATAGACATTGGGGAGGGTATGTGCTCTGGTGAGCGCTGTGAATTGTGTAAGACTGTTGAATCACAGACCTGTACCTCTGAAACAAATAATACATTATATGTTAAAATAAAAGAAGAAGAAGATAGTAGGAAGGGAGAAATGAAGGTGGGGGAAGTCGGTGGGGGAGACGAACCATGAGAGACTGTGGACTCTGAGAAACAAACTGAGGGTTCTAGAGGGGAGGAGATTGGGGGGATGGGTTAGCCTGGTGATGGGTATTAAAGAGGGCACATTCTGCATGGAGCACTGGGTGTTATATGCAAACAATGAATCATGGAACACAACATCAAAAACTAATGATGTAATGTATGGTGATTAACATAGCATAATAAAACAATTAATAAAAAATAATAATAAACTAATGTATATTTGGAAAAAAAAGAAAAAAGAACTCAGATAAGTAAGAGGTGTCTATGGACCAGTGCTACCTGAAAGCAGTGGTATTGTGGAGCTGGCTGGAACCTGCAGTTGAGAGCTCATCCTTAAACATACAGCTGGTTGCTAAACCATTGGTAGGTTGAAATTGGCCATGGTGGGAGTATTTATACCATGAAAATTGGCAAACACTGTAAATCAGTGTGCCTTTTCTGCCCACTCATCTACAGAGCTTACACATTTATCAGCAGCCCACTGCCCAGAAGGCCCTGTGGAGGAGGCAAAATTTGAAATGGACCTTAAGAGTTGGGAAAAGAAGGATGTTGTATCTCGCCTTCCCAAGTTAGTGCCAGAAAAGAGAGGGTACAATCCTTAAACTCCAGAATGAAGTGCCTGGAGTTGAAATAGGAATAAATTAAGCATTGTTTTAAGTGAGGACATATGGTCTGGCAAAGAATTTTAGTCTTCATTTTGAAATGGGATGAAAGAGTTGTCTCAGGAAATTTGTGACATGTACAGTACTTGTTTGCCATTCCAGCATCCAGAGAATTCTGTTCAACAGACATCTTCTGAGCATCTACAATCTAGTGATTATATTACAAGATCCGTAGTGCCTTCTGAATTGTCAAAGCAAGATTACTTTATGTTCTTTATTGTTTTACTTGTATATTTTGTGGGATTGTGATTACTTTTTAAAAGTGTGTACAGTTATATCTACCTCCTTCTTAATGAGAAAGTTGGTATTCTGCACTATTAAGATATAGCCAACAGCATAGTTTAGTAGGGGCATGAAGATGTTATGTTATATCAGAGTAGGATATTCAATGCATTCAAAGGTGCATTTCCCTTTTGAAGGTGGCTATATGGTTCAGCCATTAGCCTTATCATTCCTTTACCCTGACCATTTCACAGTTCTTTTTTTTATTATTATTTAAAAAAATTTTAATTCCTGTATAGTTAACATAGAGTGTTATGTTAGTTTCAAGTGTATGAACCATAGTTCTCTCTCATAAGAAGCATTCAATTGTTCCCTATTTTTTAAATGTATAAACTGCTAAATCAAGAGTGATCAGATAGAGGGCCGCCTGGGTGGCTCAGTTGGTTAAGCGACTGCCTTCAGCTCAAGTCATGATCCTGGAGTCCTGGAATCGAGTCCCACATCAGGCTCCCTGCTCAGCAGGGAGTCTGCTTCTCCCTCTGACCCTCCTCCCTCTCATGCTGTCTCTCATTCTCTCTCTCTCACAGAAAAAAAAAAAAAGAGTGATCAGAGAGAAGAGTAGGATTATGTCAGGACAAATGTATTCTTGCTACAGAAACAAAAACTGAAACAGACACTTCAAAGTATATATCAAGCTCAGAACTCTGCTTTGAAGAATAAATAGCAGTTAGCTAAAAACATAGGAGTGGAAGGAATTCCAGTGAAGGGAAGTGCATTTGGTCATGCCATTGCACTGTAAGGCATTCATTATTGTTGTAACTGAAACACAAATAGGCTTGAGATAAAACAAGAAGTGGGAAAGAATAAGGAGGAATAAGGTCAGAATCAGGCAGTAGCCACACCATTCAGAGCCTTATGGTTTAGTCTTACTAAGGAGTTTGAACTTTACCTTAAAGCTCTAGGGAACTCTCAAAGGATTGGAATCAGGGTAGTAGAAGAAACGTGATTCTACGTTGGAAGAGGATTACACAGATAGCTGAGTATTGGGGAGGGTTGGTAGTGATCCAAGTGAGGAGGCTCTGCACTGGCAGGAGGGTTGAAGATTCAATTCTAAAGGTGTTAAGGGGGGAGTGTCTGCTGTCTTCGTGATGTGATTGATTGATTGGGTATGGGGATTGAGAGAGAGAAAAGAATAAAAAGATGCAAAGGTTTCTGTGTGTGAAGACTGGATAGTGTACCATTTGGTAAGATAGGGAATACAAGAGTATTTTTTTAAATTAACATATATTATTTATTTCAGGGTACAGGTCTGTGATTCATCAGTCTTACACAATTCATAGTGCTCACCATAGCACATACCCTCCCCAATGTCCATCACCCAGCCCCCCCTTCCCTCCCACCCCCCGCTCCACTCCAGCAACCCTCCGTTTGTTTCCTGAGATTAAGAGTCTCTTATAGTTTGTCTCCCTCTCTGGTTTCATCTTGGTTCATTTTTCCCTCCCTTCCCCTATGAGTCTCTGCCTTGTTTCTCAAATCCCTCATATCAGTGAGATCATATGATACTTGCCTTTCTCTGATTGACTTATTTCACTTAGCATAAATACCCTCTAGTTCCATCCACGTTGTTGCAAATGGCAAGATTTCGTTTTTTTTTTGATGGCTGCATAATATTCCATTGTATATATACACCACATCTTCTTTATCCATTCATCTGTTGATGAACATCTAGGCTCTTTCCATAGTTTGGCTATTGTGGGCATTGCTGCTATAAACATTGGGGTACATGTGTCCCTTCAGATCCCTACATTTGTATCT